TGAGCTTGAAGGCAGCTTCCAAGGAAATACAGGATTAGGTCTGCACTCAGGAAGCATGTCCAGCATCCATAACCCTGTTCTTTAGCTATGAAGCAACAGCAACATTTCCCCAAACAATGCTTGAATTCGTGAATTATGGGACCGAGATTTATTTACAAGCCAAGAAAATCCTGCAGCTCAGTTACATTCTGCTTTCTCTTCAAAACAGGAACCATCATACCTGCAGTTTTAGCCAAAGACAGAAATTTACCTAAATTCATATTGATTCATACCATGCAAACATATACTCATCATTCATTCAATCACTATACTAATAATTTAAATGACTGAAGCTTCACACTATTGCTGAAAACTCAGTTTTAATGAAACAGAAACGCAGAGTGTTCCTCTATTCTAAGGAAAGCAAATATCAAAATACTTCTTTATGGCCAGGCTGAATCAGGCCGTGGGCAACCTGATCCAGCTGTGCATGTCCCTGTTCATTGCAGGGGAGTTGGACTAGATGACCTTTAAAAGGTCCCTTCCAAATCTAAGGATTCTATAGGAAATTCCACTCATGTTTTGATGCATTCCAGTTCTCTATTTGAATCACAAGAATGAATATACTACCTTTTGTTCTGTCTGTGATAGTCCATAGAAGAATGGCATTTCTTTCAACAACTAGGCTCTTTAGAATATCACAAATGAGTTAAGCTTAACATGTGCTATCTAGGGTTTCCAATGGAGAAAAAGGGTTTCCATAGCTGTAGCATAATAATGACATTGATCCCAAATATTTCATCAACTAGCTAGGACTAAACCTTTTTGTCATATCAATCAAATCAATCAATCAATCAAGTATTTTAAAAAGCATTTTCATTTAAAAAAAGCCTTCAATGCCACTCAGCTCCACCCAGCATCATTATTTCAGGTTTAAAAGTAATACACATTACTTACTGTCATAGAAAAAGACTTAAAAAGCCTTAATTTATCTGAAAATCCCTGCAGGAAAAATACGAGTTCATGCTTTTGAAGTTGATGGGGAAAACTTCAGTAGCGTGAATGAGCAGGGAAAAAAAAACATGGTAGAAAAATTACTTACTGATTTTAGCATAGTGGAAACTGATTGGAATCTGCAGAAATTATTTTAAGCATTCTCTCTTTTTTCTGTATCTATAATGTAAAATTTTCATTACTTAATGGAAAATATGAATGTTCTACAATGTCATTCTACAGAGACGAGACTAAATTTTACAGAGCAATTCCAATCATTTACAGGGAGGGAAAGTATTTTACAAGGAATATACAAGCTGCCCCATGAAACAAAGAAACAAACCTATTATATGTAGTCCTATATATCATAGCTTATGACATTCATCCTTAAATTTGTCAGATCAAGTCCTCACTCAATGAAGTACATACTGAACAGGTGTGTATTTATATTTGAGCTCACACAGCAGTTACCAGGACTATACACTGGATTATGGCCAGGGTTGTACTAACCACTTTGTGGGTCAAAGACCTTGATTTGTGGGTGACAGTCCCTGGTCACCTAACACAATGAACTATTAGAGAAGTTGATGGTCTGAACCACAAAGACTGCTTACACAAACCTTGTAAAAGACAGCATGCTGTAAAACCTGAGAGTTTTCACAAGACAGAATTTTCATCCAAGTTTCTCTCTGTGAAGTTTCACAGAGCCATATAAGTTTGTTTCAGGCTGGTAAGAGACCTAGCAGAGAAGAGTTTGTGCTATCCTCCTCAGAGCTAAGATGAGTTCAGGAAGGCCTAAATGCTTACAGCACCTATTTCCTCAAGCTAGGTAATACATTTTTAAAAAAGAAAACAAGACTCAAAAGAACCCTCAAACTCTAGATGAAGCACAGTGTATGTGTCTCAATACCAGCTGAAAAGTCACATAGCTTGGAAGACTGCAAGTAGGTCATTACTCAGGCTCACAGGGATTTGTTCATCCCCAGAAAAGCAGCCTCAAAATAATACTGAATGAAAAGGATGATGAGAAAGATAAATCCTCCCGAGGTTGTGCTACCCATACGAATTGATCTACCATGATACATAAGAACAGCTAGGCTCCATTCTCAGGCTGAATGGCTTTGAACCTTTTATTACAAGAGGGTGATTCTGTGCATGCTGCCTACTGAGGACCATCCCTAGTCCACAGTAACTCCCAAGCCACAAAGATAAAGTCTTAGGGAAAATACTAACTGGCCTGAGCTCAATGCATAGCAGGGATCACTCTACCAACTCACTAGAGCAGAAGTCAAACAGCATCCTGGCACTGTTTAATTTAATAATTTAGAAATAGCCTCTGTATCTTTCTGACCTGTTTAAAAGCAAGTACACTTCACATTTCTTCCGTTTTGTTTCTTGGAATACACGGGACCAGATTTACTGTGAAGAATTTGTATGTTTGTGTAGTGGATCCTAGTCACAGGTGATGCTTTAGCAGTCCCCCTAACACAAATAATATTTCTCAGCTATCAACATACATTTATTAGATTCATAATCTTGTTGCACAGTGAACTTCTCTGTCAAGTAAATGGCAAACTTCCAGAACTTCAGAGTTCAGATTTTGTTTGGAAAAGTATTCAAGAGTGTGGATATTCATCTACAGTTTACGCAGATCATTTAAACCCTTTGAAAATGCAAAAGCAGGGAGGGAATTTCACAGCATTATAACTTATAATATAACATTTCCAAGTTTAGCAAAAAAATCCAGCACTGTGTGCAAGTGGACTGGAAAAAAAATACATATTATTGTAAAACGAAGGAAAGGAAGGAAGGAAAGGTAAGAAAGGAAAGGAGTAAAGGAAGGGAAGGAAAGGAAGCGAATGTAGGGAAAAAAGGGAAGGACTCATAACTTCCACATGCAAACATAGATGCTTCTTTCACTAACGTTAAGAACTTCAAAATCCGATTCAAAACCAATATTTTAATGTGCTATTTTTGTTGGTTTTAGGGAGACATGAACATTTTCAAAAGAATTTGTTTTCATTCCAACACAGAACAAAAACAAATGCTGAAATTTTGAAAGTTGCCCTGAATTTGAACCATCATCTTTGCTTAGTTTAATAAAAGAACTCTTCACTTCTTTGTCAGGCCTAACCTGCTGGTTAATTTCACTACTCAAAAGCAACTGGCCGAAAAGGGGTCTTAATCTGAGGATTTGCTCCACTCTCTCAGGAGAATGTTTGATTGGACTACCAAAAGTATCAATACTAAGATTGAAGCAGTTGCTAGGTCAGTGGATCATTTTTTCCTTCTCTAAAACTTGTTTTCACAGCTTGGAATATTTCCAATGATCACAGCAACGGGTAAGAAAAAAAACAGTGACCACTTGAAAATTCGGGACTACTTTGACTGAATTAGAAATACGAAGAAAATGTTAAATAAAAATAGCAGTAGTCCCTTGCTAATTTGGGATATAATTGTATCATATATTTATGATATTGTGTGATTTTGGCAAGTGAGATCTATTGCCCAAAAAAGGAAGAAATATTTCAACATTAGAGTGATGCTTGCACTCTTTTAATCAAAAGATTAGAAGCATCTGATTCATGAAGGCATGATGTGCATTTGTTACTGGTAACATTTAAGCTGTCTAAGGTGTCTAATGCCAAGTCTACAATTGTACTGACATGCTACACATTAATAAATACATAGGAAATTAGTATTTCTCCAAATGCTGACAGAAGAAACAGCCAGCGTTACAGGATACACTTTGGGTAGGGCAATTAAAGGCACCCCTGAAGAAAAAAAAAATCTTGCAGATGACATTATCAACCTGGTAAGAAAAAAAACAATAAAAAAAGCACTTTTAAAAACTCATTTTTGCTAAAGTGTATAATGTGCTAAATATAAATATGCAATGAACAGAAACAAAGCTCACAATAATTCTCTCAGTAGTTCATATGTGTAACAAAAACTTTGGCTCAGATAGCGTCGTTATGTTATCCTTGTTCACATAAGTAAATAGATCCATCAGCTAATACAATGGCTTATTATGAAAGGGCTGAAAAATGAGCACAGTGTTTCATCTAGGCAGAAGATGAGACTGAATGTCTCTTTGAAACAGTCTTGATGCTTCAGAGGCTTGCTGGAGCTAATGGAGAGAGACCATGTGGAAAATTGCCTCCTACGGGTTGAATCTGTGTGGTCCCTGGGGTTTTCTTCTCCCTCCCGCCTCTCCTTTGTGGAGAGAGAGAAAGGGAAAGTAAATCTTTATGAGTGCTGCTATTCTTACATTTTAAAAGATCATTGTGTGCACTTCAGTAGGGAACTGTCGTGTATCTCTTAGCATGACAACTGAGGTCTCTAGCACCAGCATACTCTAAAAGTGAAAAGGTTAACCTGTGAAAAGTGAAAGCGTTGGAGCTGGAGCACTAGGATCGCGTGTTGCAAAGTTTCTGCAAAGGGAAGACAGAAGAGAAGATGTAGATAGATACAGCTTGTGAGGGCTCTAAGCACCACAAACCATTTAATTAATTTTTCCAAGTTACAACATCTGAAGGTTCACACAACTTTCTGTTACATAGAAAAAAACCTGCAATTTCTTCTCACCTTTATCAGGGGGATTGTATTTTGAAGCAAACCAAAACAGCAGCAACCATTTGGACTTTATTTTACTTTTTCCTGGGCAAATTATAACATTTAGAAAACACATAGCTGAACTCTTCCTACCTCAAAATAACAAATTGCAATAGAAAAACAACTTCAGAAGGTAACAGGCTTGACAATTACTCTGAGCTTGCCCTAATGATTTATTATAGTGTAAGGAGGTGAGGGAATCATATTTTTGCTGAGGGATGAAGATTAGGTTTTTGTTATTACTATAACATTACTATAGAATCAACAAGACAAATTTCAATCTATTTGCTTCCAGGCAACTCTTAAAGTACAGTGCTCTTAGTTCTCAATATTCATTAAATTTCAAAAGGTATTTTGTCTACTATTTTGCATTATGATCAAAGGAAAATATTGAAAAATTTAGATTTGCTCACCTTTGCAGTTGCCCCTATAGGCAATTTCCAGCTGAGGATCTTTGCATTTTGCTCGTTGAAATTCACACCGGGACAAGAAAGTTCTTCCATCAGATGCACAAAGCGATTTCTGAGGAGAACCTGCACAGTCCAGGCTGCATTCTCTGTCTTTGTCTTGATCCACCCTCAAAAACTAGGAAAAAAAATAATAATGATTAATGCTGTAGGAATACTATTCTCATGTGAAAACTGCTCCATGATCCCCTCCCCCAGGGAATATGTGCAAATATTACCCAAAAATGAAAGAAAAGCTTTGTCTTTTTTGCCTATTCAAATAATGGTGTATTCAATGTATATGAGGTTGTTCAACTTCTGTTATAAGATGGTAATGATTGCATTATTTCCGAGAATAAAAGCACCATCACGATTAGGGAATCTATGAATCCTCCTTTAACCATTGTGAAGCTGCAAACAGTGTCTTGGAGTCTCTAGACCAAAAAATGGTGATGGCAGAAACATTTTTCATCAGTAAAAAAATGAGACAGCAATTATAATTTTCAAATTTATTTGCCGTGGATTAACTAGCCTATAATAACAAGCTGAAGAGTCTATTCTAAAGATCTAAATAACATTTTTTTTCACCCAATTCTTATGTAAAAATATTTCCATAATATGCCCAATTGACTCAATTCAGGAGGCCTGAAGATAACATGAGCAAAGTATGAGAACCATATGAAATGCAACAGATCACATTCACTCTTCAATAAAGCAAAAATTTCAGAAACATTGTATAGATACATTTGTATTTGTGTGCATGCTTGCTTATAAAAACATAAGCCAAAACTGAAGAGGGAAATGCTGTAGATAGATAGTATAGACACAACAGTGTCTCAGCTGCTATTCCAAAGAGCCTCATAATGGGCCAGAAGGAAAGACAAAACCTGAAATAGGCCATGCACTGTCCACTACGTCTCTACTCAAGTAATTTTATTCAATTTCTTGACATCAACAAAAAGTTCTGATTGTTCCATTAAGTACTGTCTGACTTATGATGTGGATCACCCACATCTGCAGTTTCCCAGGAGTCTTCCTGCCCTGGCATGGGTTTTCCATGAGGTGTAGTCCCTCAGAAGCGTTCCTGCATTAGTTTGGTTAACCCATGGACTACAATATTAATTTTTTTTTGGACTGGTATAGGGCTGTCAAGTGTCCATGCACACAGGAGAGCCCTGCAAGACCTCTGCTACCCAAATTCTTTCCTCTCTGCTCTTTACAACACAGGTTTCTCCTTTCTCAGAAATTCAACCTTATCTTCTTTAGAAGACAGTGATTGAGTATATGCTGATAGAAGTAATTAACGTTGGCCACATTTTGAATTTCACCAAACACTCCCCCCTGCATAGTTCTGCCACAGAGCAATACTAAAATCTCCTGGATGCTCAGTGGACTGGTCCTGGCAGCGAAGCATGCTTTGGTCGGACTAGATGATCTTAGTGGTCTTTCCCAACCTTACACAATTCTATGATTCTAAACTACATACACAGACAACAGAGCTTAGTGTCCTCTTGGTACTGTGAGAAGGAGGAGCAACTCACCCTGGAATGTACTGCCAAAAGCCAAATCATTTCTAATATTGCTGCATGCAATACAGAAACAAAGATAGCATGTTATCCTCTGAAAGGCTGGGATGAGGACTGAAGTGAAACCACCAAATCCTCAGAAGAATTTTTTTTATCATTTTGTAGTTTCTCAACAAACACAAAGTTATAGAGCTACCAGAAAATAATAATTCCCTCAAGCACAATGAAGCACAATGCAATGGATCTGAGAAAAAGTCTTCATTCACTGCTTTTATCAGTGCCCTTTTACCATCATAAACCTCAGGTGTGGAAATTCTGGAATTCAGATTACAAATGAAGGCCACTAGGAGAAAACTTTCAAACAAATGAATAAAAAGGATGGCAAAGAGTAGCATTTGAGCAGCGAAGAGTAGCTCAAGCTAATAAATTCACAAAACTGTTTCTACATGTAGCTCCCCTGCATTTTATTACTAAAAACGTGTATAGAGTCATAAATCTCTGTAATTTTTGTACTTGAACTGGGGTGTATTTGCATTTCCAATCACTTAATGTGACGAAATACAGATGTTTTTCTGACAACTATGCTTGAGAATGGAGAGACAATCTAAATGGTATCACTTTAATAACAATATGGTTGAAATTTTAGCGGCACAGTAATACAGAAAGGAAAGCTTCCTTTTCCTGATATTTTTAAGCATTTCTTCATTTTTAACAATAATTATTTTCAGAAGGAAATTGCTCACAAATTACGCACAAATCTCAAATCCACCTTCCTCAAATTTAGCTATAAATCTTCAGAAAGAGATGTTCCTATATCCTCAATTCAAAACCATTTTGCAGATCCATTTTGCTGACAGGAATTAACAATTAGCTGAATAGAGTGGGAAGATGACTGAAGTCATCTCTCTTTATGCGCAAAATGAGCAACAGTAAAGACCACGCATCTGCCCAATCTCAAAACGATGGTGCTCTCCAGGGCCTGGACAGATGCTCTCATGAGCTGCAGGGAGGCATGATGAGGTCCTCCAAGCTTCCCTCTCTTGCCTAAGCCAGGCTGTCAGAAGGGACAGCTTTGAAGGCATCTGCAGGACTTTGGGATTAGGCCTAGTCAGGACTATGAACAGCACTTTTCAAGGACATAGGCTGCATGGGGCCTCTGTCAGAGGGACTGGATCCAATTTACTGCTCTGCCTCAGGCATTCCAAGTGGATTTAGCGATGGCAAGTCAAGCAATCTGCCTTCTCCTATTTTGTGAAGTAAAAATCAGAGTACAGCCCTTCTCTGCTTGTAAGACTACTCCTTCCATCTCTGTAATGGCTAGGAACTTTGCCATTGTTAATTTATCCTCAGTAACATCTCTGTTGGGCAAATTATTATTTTTCAAAAGCGTAGGAAGACTTCATGACCCACAAAATGTCACGCGGCAGATCAGGGAACTGAACCCACGCCTCAGGAAAAAAAGAAACCATGGAGAGAAACAGTCTAGTTTCTGTTCTATTTTCCTCTCACACTTTCCTCATCTTTTCTGTTCTGAGCTGATGCAGGAGTTTAGATGGGTATGCCTGATGCGGACAAACCACAGTGACAGAGTGGACAGAAAATCCCCTTAATTGTCTGAGGAACAAAATCCATTCCCTTGAGAACATGATAGTCTTACAGATAAAGTTATATTTTAAAGGGCATTTATCCAAAGAGTTTTATTTAAGTATTTTATTATTTCAAAGCCTTAGAGAAGATTAGGGTAAATTATGGGTTCAAGGATATTCTAGCAACCTGGAAAAACAGAGGATGAAGATATACCCAGGAGACAAAACCACTTGAATAGCTTGTTAGTTAGCCAAACCTCACTGGAGAATTTGGGTTGTACATCTACAACAATTTCCACCAAGCTAGCGTAACTGATGGATTTAAGAGCAGGAAGGACAAAAAGGCAAGTAACTGCTAGAAAATATAGCATATGAGAGAGCCTAGGAAATGTACTTTAAATAAATAAATAAGGGAAAGAAAATAAAACCTGTGATTAAAAATTGGAAAATATCCCATTGTTATCTTTCCTACAGCAGCATATGTAGCCAAAAGAATAGATAAATATGTCAAAGCTAGTAGAGACACTGAAATATGCAAGGGATAGGAGATTTGCTATATCCTTAGATATGAACAAGCAGTCAGCGACATAGAAACTGGAATCACTGATGTACATCTTAGAGTTATTGCATTATTCCTTTTCCTTAAAGAAGAAGAGTTCAGAAAGAGAGAAAGATGGTTTGAAACATGAGTCAATGTTGCTCATTCCAAATACTGGCTCTTCAATCTCTAAGTTCATTTAGCAAACAAATTTGTTATTGTAAAAAGACAAGATTCACAGAAAGACAAGCTTGAAGTAATATTTTTGTTACTTGCTGGTAGCAACCAAGATGAAGCCAACAACAGATGAACAACCTGAGCTGGAACTATTTTGAACACCCAGCAAGAAATAGACAATTATGACTAAACCGTATTTGAATGCAAATCCTTTCCAGCAGAGAGGCATTCCTGCTCCTAATGGCGCAGAAAGCAGCCTAGTCAAATTTCAGAAAATTGTTTTTAACAATAAATTTCAGCTTATGCTACAGAGTATCAAGTGTGACTCCTTAACTGGAGTTAGCACTTGCTTATCCCCTGCTTTGCATTTTAATATCATCAAATATTTTTATGGTCTCCAATTTATTTCAGCCTTTTCAATGCATTATATTTTACAGTAACTGTAAATAACAGCCCAAGGGGCTGTTATTCTACAATAGGCACTGCTTTAAATTCACACACAGTATTTCCAAGAAAAAAGGATAATGGGAATATATCAGAAGACTTCCTGCTTATTAAGTTTACCTCAGCTGATAAGACTAAAATTCACTATAAACTACATGTATCTATTTAACAGATACGAGCATAGATAAAATATTATTACAGTCATGTGTTTCAGGCAGCATGAAATTTCACTATTTTCCTTCTTTGTCACATATAACAAAGGCTCTTAATACTGTTAGAAATGAGTTCCCTCTGTTGTTTAACCAGTAGTCTCAGTGTGATTTCATCCTTCAGATACTTCAGTTTGATAACACTCAAATCATCAGATTATTTAGTTGTAGATACCCAAAACCTTCCCTTTGTTGGGGAAAATTATTTATATCACTTTATATTCCGCCTTGTTCTTGTCATTGGTCACACATCCAGGCTGGGAACAATCAGGATATTTTTCTCCTCAACCACAAGCAATATGCTGCAGTCCACAAGCCAGTTTTTTCAGTAGTCCAAGAGTAAGCATCAGATTTTCTTTACTGTGCCATTAAGCAGTTTATCAAGATAACATCCATAAAGTTGTTTACTACCCACAGCATAACATGCATCTTCTCTTTGTCTTACGCTATACAATTTTACGCAGAGATTTGGATTCATTCCCTCTGGAATAGATTCTGACTCCTCACCACTTTTACGGCAAAAAAAAAAAAAAAAAGGTCTTCCCATGAAAATGAACCACATGCAGATTTCTACATTTCCAGTACACAGAACTGGGATGCCACCATCTACAGTACAAAGCAACTCTCTCCACTAAGCACATCATATAACACACCATAAGAAAAAAAGGCACAAGGCTGAAAAGTCACTACCATATACATCTACAGGCCAGAAGACCAGTACAAGAAAGCAGAAAAATAAAGACCGGGGGGACAAGGAGGAATGGCTTTAAACTGAGACAGGGGAGGTTTAGGTTAGATATTAGAAGGAATTTTTTTCCACACAGAGAGTGGTGATGCACTGGAACAGGTTGCCCAAGGAGGTTGTGGATGCCCCATCCCTGGAGGCATTCAAGACCAGGCTGGATGTGGCTCTGGGCAGCCTGCTCTAGTGGTTGGTGACCCAACCTGTGGCAGAGGGATTGAAACTGAATGATCATTATGGTCCTTTTCAACCCAGGCCATTCTATGATTCCATGATTCTATGACCAGTGTTACCATTTCAACACACGAACACAGGCATCTCTGTTGACCTGAGAAAAAGCTGCCAAGAGATGCACATAGGCTGAAATATAAAAATTAGTCATTGAACTTGACTTGCAGCCTTTTAAATAGTAATGTAAAACACTGCTCCTCATTTCATGGTATAGTGCACAGCTGTGAATTGTCTTTGGTCAGAGGGCATTTTCCAATTTTAATCTGAGTAAGACAAGGCAGTATACCCTCAACTTCTTTTTTTCTTTTAAATCCATTTATTTTTTAATTTGGAATGGTCACTCTAAGAAAGTTTATTCACAGTTCTGTAGCGACGTCCTTAGCACAAAACAGGATGCGTGCATCTACCTAGCTCAAAACAAGCTATGCTCAACCTGTTTTTACTTTGCTTTAATGTAGATTTCCTGCTTTTCTTCTGCCTGTGGAGAGAAACTCCATTCTCTTCTATGAGATCAGCTTGAAGTCTGTAGATTAGGAGAAAAACAGACCTAGAAGTTTATGGATTCAGATGGTCATTCATTGGTTTTCAGCCCTTCTTCAACTTATGAACCCCTTCAATAGCCAGAGGACACCTATACCCTCCAACAACAGTAGGTACTCAAACATATTGACAAGTTTGTATTGTTACTTTTTGTGGATTCCTTATAACTGATTTACAAAACCTCCCCTCTAACTATTGCTTCACAACCTAAGATGAAATTTAGATCAGCTTATATAACAGAAGAGCACTTCAAGTTGTGGGATTGGGGTTGAAAAGTCCCGATAAACAAGCAGTAGAGAAAAGATGGATGCTAGACATTACCATTTTATTTGGAATAGACCAGCGCTAGGCTATTGCATTGAAAGGCAATTTCTTTATCTGCATCTGGTTACTGTAAGATGTTAGATAGAATGATCTGACTTGCATGCTGCTGGCATGGGAGGTCTGCAAACAAACTTTTGAGCAGCGTGCTATAAAGTGGCTCTGCACTCTGGGCTTTGTGCTGTTGAAAAATGTGCTGAACTGCAGTGATTTATGTGGCCATGCTGTTTCTGTCTGATAGCTGTCTGAAGGGCAGATGTGGAAACCTCCAAGCTAGGAATATTTTGTTCCCTCTGGCCTCATCTACAATGGGAAAATGAGTTAGACAATAGTAGTAGATATGTATATATATATGCATGTATGTGTATATACACACTTCACTGTGTACACACATCCACACATGCCGACTATAATATGTAAAGTGGTATCATTGTTTTTGTTTGAAACATGCATGTGAGTATTTAAGTAAAAACATGCTTACAGAGCACGTACAGAGCTAGACTGTCTCAGTTAATCTGCTTTAACAAAACACCACTCACTTTTCAAGATTACCTCATCACTCTTGCTAAGAATGAAGCAGAAGGTACATTTACAGAACAAACCTTACTCTCACATCAACATCATGCTAAAGCATTCCATCCTCATCCTGAAATCAGAGGAAAGTCTCAGTTCTTATTTTCCTTATTACTGAGGACTTCAGTTTACCAAATGACACATTCAAAATGACAACTTTTTAACTGCTGTACTCAACCCATCTTTGATAGATTAGCTTACCTCGTACTGACCCAATGAAGCAAAACAGTCCTTCATGACTGTTTCACGACAAAGCCAAGAGCTGCCTACTGCAAACTGTGACCTCCTTCTTCATCCAGACATACAGGACATCACCATTAAGTTACAAGCTTGTGCAGAAGAATTTAAGCAGAAAGGTGTCACGTATATGACTAATCAGATAATATAATGTTCAGTTAGAATGTGTACATTTCTGCAAGGCTTACACTATGCAAGGCTACTTGTACTTTTAATAGAGAACCTCATCAAAACATCTGTATGTCTCCTCTCTGTGGTAGAGGTTTGATGAGAAGGGCTTTAGGTTTCAAAAATAATTTTTAGCATAGGTCTCCAGGAGCTACCTGTGCACCTGCAGAGGATGTACAGAACAGACAATTCTCTCTAATGCTCACTGAGGCATTGTTTTATTCAAAAGGAGCCTGTTAAACCTTTGAACACAGATCCCTCAACTTACCTCATTATTTTTCATGAACTACTTTGTGTGTAACTTATCACATCAAACCTCTTGCCATATAAACTGTATAAAGAAGGTTGAAAACACCAGCTAGAGCATGCAGTTTCATTGAGTGGGAAGATGGGCTTGGGTTTTATGAGTTTTTTTGTTGTTGTTGGGTTGTTGGTTGTTGTTTTTTTTTTTGTGAAGAACTCATGGGTCTGAGCCCAGAGTCAGCTCCAAATTACCAACCAATTAGGGCAGCGTTTTGCTTTACTCTCAGTCTGTGGAGTATAGTGGAACTCTTGGAGTCTCACATCTGCTGATTATGAAAACATGATAAACTACACTATCATTTTGTTACAAACAGCATGGAAAATTGGTTGTTAAAAAGGACTGTGCTTCATTGACATGCTTGGCTTTAGCACGTTACTTTTTAAACATTTATTGTTTTAACAAGTATTTTGTTAAGTGTGCTTTACCGTGCTGTATTTATGAATAGATAGTGGGTCGGAATGTCAGTACATCAATCGGTTATTTCTCTTGTTGCTTCACAAATGATTAAAAGAGGCAAAACATCTCAGTTCTATATCCATGTAAACTAGAAATGAGTGAGCTGGAATTAAATCAGACTGACAGGTTCTCTTCTGCTTTGAAGAAAAGATGGACGTTAAATTATGCAATCAAAATTTGTAGTGCAATGGACAAACTATAGCAACACAGTGCAACTGCAATCCCAAATTTCAACTTTACCTTCTCACCAGAAAAGCTCCTCCAAGCAGCTTAAAGAGATTTTGGGTGATCTTGGTGGCCCCTTCTTTTCTACTATGAAGGAAATATTTTTGCAAGGCTGGGAAGAGAGAAGCTACAACCAATTCAAAGAACGATTGGGAGAGGAGGAGAGAGTGAATTTTGTAAGGGTTCAAAAGTGCCGGTTCAGTAGATTTTTCTTCTATTTATTATACTTTCAATTGAAATTTAACTGAATTCCTTTGATCTCTAGATACTTAGAGGAGGGTACCAAAGAAGAGCTTACTCTGTTGTTTAAGCATTCTGAGTATCGTATACCTGGAAATGTGAAGAAACACTATAAGAAAGAGGGCTCCAAACCTTTTCTTTTTTTCTCCTCCATTTGGTTTTGTTTTGAAAAGTAACTTTAAGATAGTGCAATCATACCCTTTGAAGGACTATTCACCTGAATAGTTTAATTCTAGGATCTGATTCCATCACTATTAAGGTAAATGCACAGACTTCAATAGGAGCAGGCTCGGGTTCAAGAGCAGCACTCAGTGCTGATGAACTATCCTTTCAGAAGGACCTTTCACTGTGTCACTTGAATGCTCCTGTAACACCATCTTTGGAAACACAAAGCACTCCCTTTACATGAATCATGCCAAAAGTTGCAAAGTTGAAGCAACAGAACCAATGCTAAAAATGAACCAAGGATCTTGATTTTCAAGGCATGACAAATATTGACAGTGACACTAAAACTCCCATTATCTGACTACATTCATTCACTAAGATTAGGAGTCTTCTGTTTTCCACTAAAACACTCACTTTTGCTAACTGAGCCCACTGTATTCACCATAGATTAAAATAGCCCATGCATTTAATACTGAAGATACCTAGTAGTAACACAAGGCTACCACAGCAAAGACAAATGGACTGCATTTTTTTGCTCCAAAAACAGTTTACTTGGCTCTTCATGGATAAAAAATTCTTCCTGTTTTTCTCCTATAATTACTCATAGCCCCAGTTTAAGGTAAATAATTGGTTTCTTTCATACTGCACCATCAAAACAATTGAAAATCATATTGAAACTGTGGTAGACGCATACAAAGCTTGCTGTATGCACTGCCTGAAAATTGAACTGTACATTGGGATGGAAAGCATGATTTTATTTTATTTTTTAAGTATACTGTTGAAAGCTGAACTGTTTAAGATAGAGTAATAAAAATACATATTTTTTTAAACACAACTGTTATCAGAAAAGTGGTGTTCTTTGTACATATGTTCAACTGGAGAGATTACAGTCTTTGCATTTCTTCAGTAAATACATAGATTCTGTTTCTTATTTCCAGAGGCATTGGTGTCTTTGGTTTTGAAGTATTTTCAGTTAAGTACAGGAGTTCAGAGTTACGTAACACCTAAAGATTAACAGAACTTGGGTTACCAGAGACAAAACAATCTACCATTAAATTTATCCTTAAACACAAACTGAAAGAGTTTCAGCTTTGAAGGTATCCTATTCTGCATGTATAGCAATCCACTGTTTTTTCTGTGTGTCCTGTGCCCTGTGTTCTGCATTTTTCTTAAGTCACTGGCAAGTTTATGCCCTTCATTCCTGTGGTACTGTTATTAGTGATCTTTTTTTCTTTTTGGCGGCTTGTTCTCATTTAGTGTTTTTTGTCAGTTGCCAGAAGTCACACAGGGAAAAAATAAACAGAGAAACAGTGGGATGTATTGTCTATGTATTGAATTATCCTCTAGTTTACTTAAGCTTTTCATGAGTACTGGTCCAACTTTCAGAATACGAGTGGACCAGCACAACCATCCAGTTAGTTTACCCACACATAGCTAATCTGCCTGGTTTGTGTCTTTAATAACCACAGTTATACTTGGGAAAAAACTGGAACATTTTACTTTTTAATCTCGTTCAAAGACTGTTCATATGAAAAATATTTTGGCTCCTAAAGTGACGAAATGCTATTTTAAAATGCATATAAAATCTAAGCCAGATCAACATTTCTAATCCTAAAATAAAATTCTCAAATATAAAGAATACACACATATACCCCTAAAGTGTCTGAGGTAGCTTAAAACAATAAAACTATGAGCCATGATCCACAATTGAAAATAAGAAACATTTGTCTGAATCTTTATCCTAACATTCAGAAGTGTCCACATCCACTACAGAACACCGGACATGAGAAACCCTGAAAAATCAGCTTTCAGGTGGTCTCAAACTGCATTCTCTAGGGCTGCCATTCTCATGTGATTTTTTTCTGAAATCACGAGAGAGAATCCCTCCCTCCCAGCTCACCTCTGCAACCTTCTCTCTGCATACTCCAGAAGACACCAGCTCTCCATACCAGTTCAGCAGCAATTTCAAGCTGATGGGTGTCAGAAAGAGAAATTCCTACAAATTCAGATAATCAGTGTTCAGGAGAGTTGGTGGAAGATGCATGCAAATTATGTCTGATCAGTAGCCTCTCCTACATTCAGAATTTCCCCCCAAGAAAAAATAATACTTCTTCCTCACTTCAGATGGTTTACACTTTTCTCCTTGACATCAAGAAAGCAGTCTAAACACCCAGTAAATAACTCCATTCGCTTTAGAAATGATTTCTTAAAGAAAAAGGGGCATCCCTTCAACAGCTGAAGTGAAACAGTATAGGATGTTGTGCTACATACTGGTAGGGAACAATCTCCCTTTGTGGGGGGACAGAAAGGCTCTGCTAAACAGGGCTTTTCTATATCTGAGTTTCTATGGAACTCTATTTAATGCCTATCGTGATCAGCAGGCAACTGGCCACTCTCCATATGGCTGGTTGCCTTCCCTTCCTAGGGAACTAAAGAACACAGAAGGCATCTCAAATGACGAAGACACAGTATGAGACAGTATCACAACAGAACATTTCTTTTTATAATTTAAATCAAGTAAGCAACTGATTCACGCAGTGCAGAAACTCGATAAGACTTCAAAGGTCTAATCCTCAACCTACAAAGCTAACTTGCTGACAATAACTGCAGAGCTCCAATTCTCTTACATTTATCACTGCCACCAGCTTCTTCAGAACAAAGTATTTTGGGAGGAAGGCAGGTGGTAGACCCTGAGAGGTAGATTTTACTCTTGTCAAACTGTTGATTTTAAGATAACAGGTTACTAGATTCAAATACTGTAATCTTCAGAAGGAGATTCAAATACTGTAATCTTCAGAAGGAGAAATCATAAAAGCAAATAATTTAGTGAACATCTGGAATATACCAGAGTTTGACAAGCAAGCCTAATGAGAGAAAACACTTTCTTTAAGGAGAGAAGAACCTGGCTGTGGTTTTCTCAAGCCACTGCCAGATCTACTTCCACCCAACTTTGGGGTTTTACAGAACTCTATGTTCATTTATGCATGAGGCAAAAACATTTTTTCCTTTAATTCAAAACATTATTTTGCAAGGCAAGAAGTCATTAGGAAACCATTTATTTCTAATTGTTATGAGAACTTTTGGAAACAAAAAACCCTCATATGAAAAACAAAAGTTGTGTATATCTAGAAGATGGTGGAGGGCTCAACAAACCATGATCCAAAACAGGCAATTCATCAGAATATAAAAGGTTATTTTCCAAGTTCTGTCACATTGCAAGTGGCTTTGCTTTCTTGGCAGAATGCATTTCCCTTGCTGTTCTTTGTCTTTACACATCAGCTGGCCTGTAGCTTATAAATCTTCTCTAAAAGATTGCCCAGCAGCATCAGAGAAAGTTAAAAAAAAAAATCAAGTCATGATTAAGTCATACTGGCAGTTCATTATTTCTTTCTCTTCTAGACCCATATACATGAGATTTCCCAACAACAAAAGGAATTGCTATGGCTGAGAAATCTGACTGAGGAGCATTTGCACTGTCTCCAATTAAGATCAGTGAGTGAGGACCCACCATTTTAGGCACTGCAAAAACTGTAAAACTGAAAACGGCATTCCACATACTGTACTGAGAGTGAAGAATTAACAATAGCAGAGACTTTTGCATTCCAGAAGTAAAAATTCAGTGCTCTTTCCAAGCACAGTGAATCTAAGAACAGGCAGGAGAAACTCTCATCTATTGATTGACTTCCTTTTTGAGACTTTCTGGAATAGGATGCAATGAGAACCAATTCTCACACGCTCATTATGCACTCAAGGAAGCTTAGGTAATACTTGTATTAAAAAAAAAAGTCTTCCAACTGCTTCAAAAATATAAAGGAGAGAAGAAATAGAGCTCTAAAGAACAGCTATATCATTTTAATTAGATTTTCTCTCTCTCCAAAATGGAAGAACCAATGCCCAAATCAACTCTTCCCAAAAACTTACCTAAACACCATATTTCTACAACACAAGGATAAAAATATTTGGAGTCCAAAGTCTTTGATGCAATATTTCTTATTTGTAGCTTCCAGTTGTACTGGAAAAAAGTCACAAGAGCTTATCCTCTCAGATTATTTTTGTTGGGAACATAATTACTCCATGATACAGATGTTGCTTCTATATCCAACAAATTTTAAAAATGTGTAGGGATGGCACCTACAAAATATTTTACAATTTCTCTGTGGAAAATAGCTTGCAAATAGTGTCTCATACAGATTACAGCATTCAGAATAATACTTAACAGGCATAGCCACCCCACCAGTGCCACATTCTATTCCTCCTCTGTCTACATGTTGCATATACTGGAGTCTATGACCTGGCTCTTGCAAACCATATTTCATCTTCTGTTGCTGATGAGATGAAGCATAGCCACAGGTGTTTCTCCATGGTATGTAGTTACTTTGGAAATCCAGAAGCAACACAGAATCACAGAATTGCCAGGGTTGGAAGGGACCTCAAGAATCATGGATCTCCAACCCCCCTGCCACACGCAGGGCCACCAACCATTCCACCTAATGCTAGAGCAGACTGCCCAGAGCCCCATCTAATCCAGCCTTGAACACCTCCAGGGATGGGGCATCCACAACCTCTCTGGGCAGCCTGTTCCAGTACCTCACCACTCTCTGCAAAGAATTTCCCCCTGATGTCCAACCTAAATCTCCCCTCCCTCAACTTAAAACCATTTCCCCTCATCCTGCTGTTATCAACCCTTTCAAAGAGTTGATTCCCCTCCCCTCTGTAGGCTCCCTTTAGGTACTGAAAGGCTGCAATGAGGTCACCCCATACAACAACATAGCTAATTTCAACCAAACTTCTTCAGCATGTGAGGGGGAAAAGAAACAGAGAAGTCTAATTTGGTTCTGTTTTGGGGGGGGGGGGGGGGCTTGTTTGTTTTAAAACGCATTCCGCACCACAGTTCCAGACAATTTATTTTCAGCAGCATCATTAGTTGATTCTGACACATTTGCCATAGGTTTGGCAATGGCTTGAATTTTGTCTCCCGAGTAAAAATGTATGTTCAGATGTGAAGCTGTCTGAAAAGAAGGAGCTACCCAAGTACCACAGATTAATTATAGAAATGACACAAATCACCCTTGCAGCACCCACTACTGAGAGAATCCATAGAAAAGAATCACACTTAAATACTTCTTTAGGATTCACACATTTCAGAACGTTTAAAAAAAAATCTAAGTCCTCTGCAGATCCATGCAATTTCTAAATATATGCTACTTTCATCATAAGATCACTCTTTACAACCTTCCTCTAGGAAGAGAAATTCCAGCAGCATCAGTTTATAGACTGTGAACTAAGCTACAGAGATTCAATAACTTGTCAAGTGTCACCAAGGAAGTCTGCAGCAACATTAGGAATTAAATTCAAGACTAAAAACCCATTCTTGTTTTTTTAATCACACTCATCATCTTTCCATTCCTTCCTACAAAAAGATTTACTTATGGCTGAAAAAAGCCCATGCTGTTAACAAAGGGTGCAGCAAGAGAAACTGTATGAATCCATCAAAATTGGCAATTATATTTACTTGTTAAAAACACTTGAGGATACTCTGTAAACGAAATTATGATTCTCTTTGTATCCATTAAAAGAAAACGTCTTTGTTGAGGGCCATTCTTAAGGGGATTTGGATGATGTTCCAAGAAAAAGCATGGACTGAGTTGTTTGGCTTGCATGCCATTGAGTCTCTATGTTTTGAAAACTACTGTGGCACTTGTCATTTTTTTGAGCTTCCAAGGTTCATCCTGAATTTGAGGTCTTAGACAATTATCTTCCATTTCTGAATCTAGAAGTATATAGGGTAGAGACCCAGTATTTTATTACTAAGATGTATACAGCTGCAAAGTTCTTAATAATAATGATAACAGAAACAAACAAAGCATGTCTACCCAAAAATCAGGCAATACTTGCAGTCAGGACTGTCACTTATGCCTGCAATGAACTAACCATAGATGATGCATTTTCTCTTTGCATTTTTTTCAGTGCTCACCCCAAAAATCAAACTACCATACTTGTTTGTCTCTGTAAAGCATTTCATAAATCATGAAAGAAAGATGCCATATAAGAGCAAAACATTATCTGATTGCCAAAGCCACAAGATCAGCATTTGAATGAGGCCACAGAGTTGACTTTAATGTTAGTTCTCTGGCTGAGCCTGGATTACTTGCTTTTTCTATGACAGCTTTGCACAGTGCTTATGTGCATTACAGCTCCAGGAACAATTTTCAGTTTTCTTTCATTTCTTTGGTGTAGCTATAAAATATAGGTAGTATGACATCATTCTCAACATATCCATCAAAGCATAAAATAGATGTGTTACATTCATGTTTCTGTAGCAATACAGAACCTCTCAATACAAAAGTCTATTTTATACTGTTTTTCTCAGCAATGTTCCTGTCCTTGAATTTTGCCATTTGTCTAAAATCTGTACCACAAAACCTCTCAACAGCAATATTGTAACCAAATTACAAGTTTACCTGAGAAAAATAGCAAGTACTCCAGCCAAGGAGAGTATGTTCCATTGCACAACTTCTACATCCAAATATTTTAATCTTTTCTTCTCCCAGTTGGAAAGGTAGCAAGGATTATTATAGCAAGGAGTTGAGATCATGATTTATCCACTGCATACCGTGCATTTAGTATCAGCACATCTACCAGATAAACTAAATAAACGACAGCAGAAAGTTCTGAACACAGAGTATTTAAATTACGTGCCTTTGTTTGCTGCTTTAATAGGGATGCAGCTGTAAACTGGCTAAACTCCTTGCCATCGTGCACTAAAAATTTTATTAAGGAAACTAAACTCTGCTTGAAGATGAGAATGTTTTGTTTCTGTAAAATATTGTTGAACCACACAAGGATCCAAACTAACTATATATGGAGCAAGAAATGTTTTTGTATACCAGTCCAAAATATTCTGTTACTGATTCATTGGTAATTTATGACTGGTTTGGATATAATTTAACTAACCCTCATTGGTTTGGGGAGGTGAAATGACATGAGTCAGCTGAA